TTCGCTAACACAACTGTTGTAGCAAAGAAATTTAGAAAACAATTGCAAATGTAAGTACATTAAAAGTGACGAATTAATCCAGGATATCAAATTACGTCTACTCAATAATGAAATGACTATTAGTAATAGACTGGACATATTGCAGAATTTATAAATTACGCAACAATATTATTTAAATCGAGGAAGTTTAATTTGACTTAAACACAATACGTAATGCATGTAATTTAATAGACTGTAACGGTAATGGTAACGTAATATGGTTATGATTAGGTTTGTGATTATTAAAATTAATTAATAATCAAAGCGTATGTATTGAACTGTACTTGGGGTTGTGGCGGCGCTGTCGTCGCGCCACACATCGAAGCCTAAATCGCACTAACAAAGTTCCGAAGTTCAAGCAGTATATATAGAATAGCTCCGAACTACCACTCGGAGCGTTGGCCGTTCCCCGGGCAAAACACCTTGCCCGGCGGGAGATCTCCCCTTTTCCTACCACCCGCCACAGTGGTGACCCCGACGTGGTATGAACACGCAACCAACAACCTTAGGAAACTACAACTTCAAACCTTCGTCATCATCCTCAAGTACCCCATTCATTCGCTCCCGAGCAGATATTGTCTGCAGTCTTCACTTTCTGCAAGCCATCTAGCTTTACAAAAGTTCATCGCAGTACTGGAATAATAATGCTTCCTGTTCCTTCAAGCTTACTCTCTGCGCTACAGTGTTCGGCACGGCTCTGAGCTTTACTGCTCGCCTCTGCTTCACGGCACTTGCTTCGGCTCATCGTTGTCACCGGCATCACTTGCAAGTGCGTAGTACGGCATGCATTACACACCGGCATATCGCTCGCACCGGTGTCACTTGCCCTTACGCACACAGCATGCATTCCCCACCGGCAATCGGACTGCACTATCGACCTCCGGTCTGAGCAGGGGGGTGATGTGGCGGCGCTGTCGTCGCGCCACAAGCGAAACACATCGAAGCCTAAATCGCGCTAACAAAGTTCCGAAGTTAAAACAGTATATATACAATAGCTCCGAACTACCACTCAGAGCGTTGGCCGCTCCCCGGGCAGAACACCCTTGCCCGGCGGGAGGTCTCCCCTTTTCCTTCCACCTGGCCACAGGGTAAAAAGTCGTAAGGACAAATTGATCAAGTTAATTTCTATTGTTCATCCCGTCTGTCGTGGATAGATGAACACGCGTTTCCGAGTATCCACTCCAGAGTGGATTTTTTAGGGTGGATAAACGGAATAACCCGAGTTGTCACCCCTGAGAACTAAGAATGCCGCATTTCCAGTAAAAAGGGCCTCTGGTTAGAGAACCAGACAAATCCAGAAGCATTAAGCTGCTATTTAACGCTTGTATTGTGAGAGCGTGGTCCTATCCCAGTCGAGCCGACCCATTCGTGCTACAATTACTATAATATAACTGCACCGTACTCTACCACATACAAACACATTTGTGTGCTTGACTCTTGCCCGCAAATCTTCATAAATAAGAGGGGCCTAGTATAGCAGTATAATAACGATATAGGTTTTTACTTTGCATATTTTTACTTGGTAAAGCCACTCTGCATGAAGTCAGTAAAACGAATGAGCAACACTTGCACGGAATACAAGCATAATGCTTGTGCTTAAGGTCACCCTTCTGCATGATTATCATTTGAAGATAGGTGTAGCTTTCTTTTGACCACAGCATCCACTTACCGTCAAGTAGACTGTTCTCATTGGTCATAAAAATACCAGTGATCAAAGGAAGGTTTGAAGACGCATAGACATCAGGCTAGTAGGACTAATTTTTTTTATAGGATAGGATGACAAACGAGCACAGAGCAAGTGTTTGCTGTGACCTATAAACATCTACATTTATCCGTAATAAAGAATCAAAATGCAGATGCGTTGTCACCCGTGAGGACTAAGACAGAATGCCTCCTTTCTAGTAAAAGGGTCTCCGGTTCTCTACAGTCACCATACGAAACATAGCAGTGTTAAGCTGCTATTTTACGTTGTTTTTTTAGCTGCTGCATGGCTCTACCACGTTTAAATTATTTTTTAAAAAATTTTTTGTAGCAGATATTGACTACGGAATTTATATTGGGTAAAGAAATCACATAATTCGTTTTAAAATTTATTTATATACAAATATTAACAACACTGAATTCAAATGTTGTAAAAATGGAATACGTATAAACTACTAATTAATATTAAAAACGGTCCATCTCGAATTCATTATCGTATCAAATATTTCTTTTATTAACTATTATAATTGGCTTCAGATTACTCAAAAAAGTACAGAGTCATTGGTTAACAAGTTTATTAATAATAGTATGTAACTAAAAAACAGTATTTTAAGACTACACACATTTTATTTTACTTGGCGATTTCTATCTTTGACACTTGTGCTTATTGAACTTATTTTATAACATGTATTTATTTAAATACTGAAACTTGGCAACGAATGTTATTAAAACACTAAAATGATTTTTGTATGGAATAACTTAACTTAGTGTTGGCAGGTGTTTTTGGCTAATCTCTATTCAGATATAATGTCTTCCAAACAGAATTCTCTTTCGCAGGACACTATTATAGTAAAAATGTGTATTCAAAGTCAGAGGTGCACTTGCCATTCCCCGACTTTCATAGTCCGATGGGACAGCAATCTAACACGACCGAAGAGAGATCAGGCGCAGGCTCAACGGCTTTATGTGCTCAGGCACCGGGAGGAATCACCGCCAATTTCCTGACTACAGGTTGCTATATAGAATTTCTTAACAGAAAAAAAAAAACAATAAAACACATTGTCCCAACCCTAGATATATAGACCTATAATAATCAGCTATAGTGTGCACGACCACTAGACAATTCAGTTATAGATAATAAAAAAGTAATAAAATGTATGCGCGAAAGGGAAATGAGAATATTTTTCAGTGTTAAGTTTTAGTATGTGGCGGTGCTGATTATTGTCTTGAAAAACTATTTATTATCTATAGATTACAAATACCGACAAAATATTCAGTAATAAAAAATATAATTTATAGATTCACAAAAAATCTGACAAATTTAATTGGTATTGCATGAAGATTGTAAAAAAATATTAAAATATGTTGAAGTAAAATAATTTCATGTAATAAATTAATTTGTCATATAAATAAAGAAAATTCTAGTTCATATCATAAATTATACATACTATATTCTTTATAAATATATAAAGAAAAAAATATCGCATATACCATATCAATCCTTAAGTAAAAAAAATAAAAAATATTTATAAATGTCATGTTAAAACCTACAGAAATCAACAAATAAATATTAAGTAAAGTAAAAAAAAATTACAATGTCAATCATTGTAATCAAATAACCAATTTGTATAGTTGCTTAAATATAAAAAAGCCTCAGATAGATAAGTCCACTTAATATGAACTCCCTATCAATGATAGCACCTACTTTTCAAACCCAAAACATAAACCTATATAATATGCCCTTAAGTAAAAACAATATGAAGGGGTCAGGGGAAAAACAGCTTTTGTCACATTTTTTGTTTTTTTTCTGCTGGCAATGCAATGTTAATGAACATACCCGTCTCTATGTTTTGCCAAAAACAACCCGGACAATAACATTCATAGTCACTGATAAATCTTGCTTTTAAATTATAGGTACAGGGTAAAAACAAACTATGTCCATAGAGTTCAGGGAAAAAACATCCATTGTCCAACACCAAAAGATTAGAGAAAAGTAGTAACTGAGTCAAGGCTAAAACCTTCACCATTTCGAGTTATAGATATTGATCAGCCTTTAGTCAGATCTTGGACCAAGTTTTTGTCACCAAAATATAAAAAAACATGCCCATTTCTTTCTAGACCTATCCGTGAGATCAGAGTTGATATTTCACATCCCCGTCTCATTTTCTCAGAGATTCATATAATGGGCAGTGGACTTCATCTGTTATGCTGGATGCAAAGAGAAAAAGGGCAAACTCAACTCCCTGTGCAGATGCTTCTCATTCAACAGAATTTATTTTGCCTGACCAAGCTTACAAGGACATTCTACCAATCAGTAAAGCAAAATTCCTAGATGTACAGTCATTATCAAAATATTGCAGACCTGTAGCAAAAAAATATTATTCAGAACTTAAATACTATTCCACTACCTAAAACACATACATTAGTTTTAATTAAAGTAAGTACCTATGTGTCTTGGTGACATTGGTTGTTTTCCCCGGATTTTGATGGACATAGGATGATGTTTTCCTGATTATTCTGATTATGTCATAATTTTTTATTATAACTCTAAAGTAATGCAAAGTAAAAATAAAAAAAAATATAGAAAGACATTTTACAATAAATATATTTTCAACAAAATAAATTTTTGTCATTTATTTGTCCTTAAATAACCCTTTTTTTATGATCTTAACTTTTAATTAGTAATATCTCAGTTTGTTCATTAGGTGACAAAAGTTGTTTATCCCCTGACCCCTTCATATGTATATAATTTAATTCATTTAATTGGTATTGCATTAAGATTGTAAAAAATATTAAAATTTGTTTAAGTAAAAGAACTTCATGTAATAAATTCATTAGTCAAATAAATAAAGAAAAATATTTAAAAAAAAATCTAATTCACATCTCAAATTACCTAAGTGTAAATTATTAATAAGACTGAAATAAAAGTAAAGAAAAAATCTATTGCATATATACATCATATTAATCCTTAAGTAAAAAAAAAGAAAAAGTAAATGGCATGTCAAAAGCTATAAAAAGCCATAAATATAAATTAAGTAAAGTAAAAAAAAATACAATGTCAATCATTGTCACCAAATAACCAATTTGTATACATAATTGCTTAAATATAATAAAGCCTTGGATAGATAAGTCCATGTGACTCCCTACCAATTGTAGTACATTGCAAACCCAAAATATAAACCTATATATAACATTCCCTTGAGTAAAACAAATAGATAATGTAAAAGCCATAAATATAAGTTATTTGAAATTCATCAAATCTACAATGTCAACCATTGCAACCACGTAACCAATCTGTATAATTGAACATACATCTTGTTGCTTGGGTAGCGCAGATAAATCACTCCCTGAGTGGTTTTACAATTAGTTAATACAGACTCCCTACCAATTTTAGTTGATTTTAAACCCAAAACACCATCACAATTTTGCAGTTCTAGAGTTTTCGAGAAACAAATGCGTATTTCTCCTAAATAACTTTTCCCGTCTTCCTTCCTACATTCAATAACAGGGTTTACACCTAATCTGCCCTTGACCGCATTGTGTATATCTAGCACTGAATACTCGTGATCATTGGACGGAATGATGCTTGCTTCCATGAGAATGTCATGCATCATAAATTTACGCACCCAGTTAAGGCCCATACTGAAGTATTTGATTTGAGAATTAAGTGGTTCTAGTATTGCAGCGCATGTCCCATGTTTGTTCCACTCATGAGCCCAAAGAGCGTAAGTTGAAGTACCTGAAATATATTAAATTAGCAATTAACACAATAATATTATAAACTAGCTGTGCCCGCGGCGTAGCTCGCGTATACAGGTTTTACATAAAGAATTTGTCGTTTAGGTAAGAGAATATTAAAAGATTTATTTTATTACTGTATCAATAAGTGGTAACTAAATAAATCATTATCATCAAAGTTCTAAGTCGTTTATGAAAGAGCTTCTGTGTAAACGACGTTAGAAGTAGGCTTAGCCGGGGTGTACACAAAAAGGTTACGGGGGCTACTAACGCGGGAAAAAGCAACATAGAGTTGGCCATGTGCAAAACAGTCAGTACTGAGGTACACTCCTACAACGCGTAATGTTTGACCTTGCGCTTTATTTACGGTCATCGCATAACACACGTTCACTGTAACTGGGAACTGAACGCGCTTTAAACTGAAAGGAAAGTTACTTCTTAATAGAGGGTTTTTGGGCAGTGCTGCCAGCTAAAAAAAAAAACTCATTCAGCTCTAGGACAACACAAAAAGCGCTAGATTTAGAGTTTAGAAAACAGCGCTTTAAAAAAGCCCTAGATTTCGCGCTAAATTAACTACAAACAAAGTTTGTGTTTTTTTATATAATCATAATAAAGAAAACAACCTTAAGTTTTTTTTCTGGCAATATTTTTTTGATGTATCAATACTTCGTAGGACATCGACTTATAATTATGGCAATTGCTGTCAACAGTAGTTAGTACTGTACGAACAATAAAAATGTCATTAATTGTTTTAAAGTGCAATGTATTTCGCAACTTAGTTTCAGGTGTCAGCATCTGATTGCGGTTGCTACACAGTTTCTTTGTGTTATAACTTCTAAGTAACTTTTAACTTAGCTGTGCTCTAAGCAACTGACTGAAACTGAATAAAGCAAAATAAATGCTTTGCCAAAACCATGAACGAAAACTTTAATAAAGGGGATTTCCCCGCTTATAGTCGTCGGTAAAAAAATCAAGTTGATCATTCTAAAGGGGAAGCCAGGAGATCCATAGCACAGGGTATCCTAGTTTGGACTCGTCTCCCATGCAAAGAGCATGTGAAAAAGCTTTGTGGAAGAAATATATTTGAAAAAGATAAACTGCAATGTACTATTTGTGGGAAAAAATAATAAAGGTCATTATTATTATTATCGGTAATGTGGACTAACAGTGCTGCTATAAAAGAGTTAATAACCCGCTAGTCGCTAAAATATTGAAATGTGTGCTAAATACACCAAAAAGCGCTGGATTAAGCTAGGTGCTAAAATTACGAAATGCGCGCTATACATTCCAAAAAAGGGCTAAATCTAGTTCCCAAAGCGCTAAAATGGCAGTACTGATTTTGCGTATATTATAAATACAATATCACGACATTTCGTTGCAAAATTTTTATTTTTGGTCGGGTTCCGTTGTATGCCTTCGATGGTTACAAATTTCTTCAGTAAGTCTCAATACGATTCATAGGCGAAAAATCTCAACACAGCAATTCAGAAAAGTTTGTAATTTGTGCAACTCCATCTATTACGTCCTTTGTGTGAGAAAACATCCTTTTTAAATCTCTTTTTGTGTTTTAAGTATAAATATATTAATTATTATGGAACGTTTTTTTTTACACACAAATCTTTTTATTACTATTTCTGAGATTTTATAGCGCCATTGAACAAATTCGAACCTACATTTCTAAATAATAATCATTACTTTCTATAGAATTAACCAATTTTAATAAAACAAAGATTAAATGTAACTCGAAGATACGCTTTATGATTTTCTTAACGATTTCTTTGAAAATAAAAGATGTTTACTTTAGACGTGATGCGTTCATATAATAACAGACAAATAGACAGACAGACTAAAAATTATAAAATGTTCTTATTTAATTATTTTCAGTTCCCATAATGATTTTAGCCACCAATATATATATATATATATATAATGTACAGAAAGAGACACAAGATGTTATCATCATTTTTATTATATGTATATATTTAAAGAGAGATGGCGCTGCTAACATCAATTCTAAAAATAAAAGAGATTAATTGACGCGATTGATACATTATATAAAACGCAAGAGAACTTATAAATCAGAGCCTGCACAGTAAGCAAAAAATAAAGTTTGACTCTCGCCAAAACCAACGCAATTGTTAATAGCTCTTTTAAAATTTGATTTACCACATAGAGTACTCGGCGGTAAAGAATAAATTGAGTTTGTCAACATGCAGTAGGGCAGCGAGTAATATAATAAAGATTAGCAGTAAATATGAAAACTCATCTACAGGAAAAAACCACATTGCAATTGCATTGCATTTTCACAACACCACCATCTATCGAAGAAATGGGTTAACTATTGTGCTTCAGATTTAGTTAATAAGGTTAATATATTTTTGTAATACGTTCTTTAACACTTTTGTTTACTGCGTTTTAGATATACATAATTATATCATTATTTTACATAATTTAACTATAATTTATGATATGATATTAGTTTAAAATGCACTTGATGACTCAAACAAAGCCACCGTTGAGCAAATTCGTACCTATACTTCCCTACCCATACTTCAGAATATTTATCATAACTTTTGATAGAATGAACTGATTTTAATGAAATAAAGACTAAATGTAACCCGAAGATACACTTTATAATTTCCTTAACAATTCTTATGATATAAATTAGTACTTTATACGTGATACGTTAACAAACAAACAGACAGACAGACAGACAGACAGAAAATTCTAAAAATGGTAGAAATGTATTTAATTACTTATTTTTAGTACCCCTCAATCACTTTTATTACAAAAATATAAAATGTACAGACATCTGCTATTTACAGTTTTATTATATGTATAGATGTTAGTTTTCATCAAAATATTTATATACTTTCTGCTCTCTTCGGGCGGGCGTGTGTACGTCCGGGCGGGCGTGCGTGCGTCCGTCGTGCGCTTGTGCGTTTGTGTGTGTGTGTGTGTGTGTGTGTGCGCGTGTGTGTTTGTGTGTGTGTGTGTCTGCGTGCGTGCGTGCGTGCATGCATGCGGGCGTGCGGGCTTGTGTGTGTGTGTGTGTGTGTGTGTGTGTGTGTGTGTGTGTGTGTGTGTGTATGTGTGTGTGTATGTAGAATAAAATATTCAATATTGATTACATCTAATTCTTATTGAAAGTAATTTTTTACTTTACCACTGGTCCGAAAAAAATTCTCTGTCCCGGGAAGAACCAGTAAGAAATCCAGCGGGAATTTTTATTTAAAGTAAATTTTACAATGTAAATGATTACAAACTATTCTCTGTACAACATAGCTTGATCTATTTGACAGATGTCAAATTTGCGATCGACATAACTTTAAAATGACGAACCTAATATTTTAAAGTTTTAAAAATAGACATGTAAAAGTATTAAAGATTCAAGCATTTTCCGAAAATCTTAGTGGTTTTTATTGCTTTAAAGTAAAATTTAATAGAAAAACTGAAAACAATGGATGCTCGTACAATGTTACATCGGTCGGTCGGATGGGACACAAACGAGTTGAATGTAAATTCAAGAAAAACAACTTCCTTCTGCGTGAATCCCATATCTCTGGTGCCCTTTGACCTACAGGACCCAAATTCAAATTTGACTTACTTAGACCTACTATCTTAAGGTATCCACATACCAAATTTAAAGTCAATCGGTCCAGTGGAACGGAAGTTATCGTGTCGGCATACAGACTAACAGACTGCCTGCTAAAACCATTAACTTTCTTTCAATGCTACGCAGAAGGAAGTTAATAACAGGCAGTAACTGTTACAAATATCGGTTACAAAGAAGCCTTAATTAAAATGATTTTTATCGATTTAGTAACAACAACTGCAACAATGAAAATCTTGGTTGTGCTTCTCTTCCCATTTAAAAACCATGTATTAAACAGAAAATTTTATTTTATTTTTCAACCTTGATTTTAACTCAATATTATATAAATAATATAACCCATCATCGCTTATCTACCCAATGTTTTTATATGTTTCGTGCCATAAAGTTGATTGATGAATGAATGAATTTATTTTGAATAGTTTAAAACATACATACAGTCACATAATTTCATCACAGTTACAAGTACCTATATAAAAACATTATTTTTTGCAATACTAGATGTTTTCTGTTTCCCATCACTAGACCCATCTGTCAAAAAGATCAAACTATGTTGTACAGGGTATATTTACAAAATTTATTTTAGAAACGTATCAACCATGTATATATTTATATTATAATAACCATTTTTATACAGCTTTTGTTTAATTAAATATTTAAACTTGGTAATAGAGATACCTTGTATATTTTCTGGGACTTTGTTGTAATAGTGTATACATTGCTCCAAGAATGAATAACTGACTCTGTGGAGTTGAGAGACCGGTATCACTAGCTTGTGTTTGTGTGTGTGTGTGTGTGTGTGTGTGTGTGTGTGTGTGTGTGTGTGTGTGTGTGTGTGTGTGTGTGTGTGTGTGTGGGTGTGGGTGTGTGTCTATGTGTGTGTATATGTATATGTATGTATGTAAATAAGATTTTGTCATGCGATATCTTTAGAACAAACCAACCGATCGAAATGGGCAACACTCAAAAGTGTTCATTGAGACTTCTTTTCAAGTCAATCGGACGACAAACTTCTTCAAAAAATTAAAAACCAAAAAAACAAAAATTAAATAAATTTTCGAGTGTTGCGCTTGAAAATAAATGGGAAGTCCCAGGGATGGCCTGCATGGTCAACCGTTTTTCAGATTTTTATTAAATCATTTTAGTAATGCTATTAACATTAATAGTAAAGTCATGCACTCTAAGTTAACATAAAATAGGGGTAGTTTAAAACAGCAGTTGAATGGTGACTCACACCTTCACCATATTTAAAATGGCCATAACACAATACTTGAAATTTAAATACATCAATTTGTTATCCAAATCTTTTTGAGGGACCTTATCTTATTTTAATTATTAGTATGTAAATATTGTAATTCTGATATTATATGAGCCTATTATTATATACT